TTTTTTTTTTTTTTTTTTTTTTTTTTTTTTTTTTTTTTTTTTTTTTTTTTTTTTTTTTTTTTTTTCCTTTATTTATATAATAAAGGTTTATTCTTTTTCTTGTGGGTATTTATTTTCTTTTTTCTTTTTTTTCTTTTCTTTCTTCTTATTACACTTCTTCTTTTCTTTGTTGCATTTTTTCTGCAGCAGTTGTTGCTGCTGCTGCTGCAGTTGCTGCTGCAGTTGTTGCTGCTGCTGCAGTTGCTGCTACCATCTTTATATTTATTCATTTCTTCTTCTATTTGCTGCTGCTCCTCTTGTTGCTGCTGATCATCTTGCTGCTGCTGCTGCTTCTCTTTTCTTGATCCTTTCTTCTTAACACCTCTTTGCTGCTCGTGCTGCTGCTGCTGCTGCTGCTGCTGCTACTACTACTACTGTTGTTGTTACCCGCGCAATGAAACTACAGCAGCGCAGCAGCAGCACCCTAAAAGGGTATCGTTTACCTCCTTCTTGCTGCTGCACTTTTGCTGCTTCTGCTTCTTCTTCTTCTTGCTGCAGCAGCTGCTGCTGCTCCTTGCTGCTATGATCTTTGCTGCTGCTATTCATTAATTATTCATAATGAAGGCAGCAACAGCACCATCGCAGCAATCAGCAGCAGCTGCTACAGCAATGCAGCAGCAGCAACAGCAACAGCAACAATTACAGCAGCAATTAATACAGCAGCAACAGCAATTACAGCAGCAACAGCAACAACTACAGCAGCAACAGCTACAGCTGCAGCAACAGCAGCAACTGCAGCAACAGCAGCATAAAAGGGAACAACTAAATGCAGATCATCTTCCTATAGATCTAACAGCAGCAAATACAACAGCAGGAGGCCAATTAGCAGCAACAGCAGCAATGGCTGCAACAGCAGCAGCAGCAGGAAAAGCAGCAGCAGCAGCAACTGCTGCTTCTCCTGCTGCTGCTAGTAATTGCTCTACTAGGCCTATGGATTCCGCCATCGCAATGATGCAATCTGGTGCTGCTGCTGCAGCACCTGCTGCAGCAGCTGCTGCATCTGGTCAGCAGCAGCAGCAACAGCAGTTAGCTGCAGCTGCTTCTCAAAAGCAGGAGCAGCAGCAGCAACAGCAACAGCAACAGCAGCAACACTCCGTGTTGCCTACTACAGCAGCACCACAGTGTTCACCGCTTCCAGCGGGTACAGCTGCTGCTGCTGCTGCTTCTACTGCAGCAGCAGCAGCAGCAGCAGCAACAGCAGCAACATCGCCCGCAGCAGCAACAACAGCAACAGGACCCGCACAATCATCAAGTTGTGGTAGTACGGTAGTACCTAGCAGCAGCAGCAGCAGCAATAATACATCTCCTGCTGCTGGTGGTGCTGCTGCTGTTGCTGCTGCTGCAGCTACAACTACTCAGCCACAAGATATGCGGGTAATGTCCACGCATTGCGAGGGTTCAGGGACAGCAGCAGCAGCATCAGCAGCAGCAGCTCCTGCTGCTGCTGCTGCAGCTGCAGCAACAGGTGCAGCAGCACCTCCTCAGCCGACTTTATGTGTAGGCAACCCCAAAGGGGGTCCGAATGTTGCTGCTGATACAGCAGCAGCAGCAGCAGCAACAACAACAACAACAACAACAGCAACAGCAACAACAACAGCAACAGCAACAACAACAACACCTGCTGCAGCAGCAACTGCAGCAACTGCAGCAACAAAATCAGATATGAGTGGGAGTATTAATACAAATAGTAGTGGTAATAATAATACCACAACAGCAGCAGCAGCAGCAGCAACAGCAACAACAGCAGCAGCAGCAGCAACAACAACAACAACAACAACAGCAGGATCATCATCATCATTATCAACAGAATCTGAGATAGCAGCAGCATTAGCAGCAGCAACAGCAGCAGCAGCAGCAACACCACCACCAATAATATTAACAGCAGCATTACATGGCATGCAATGCGGTTGTGGTGAGTTGCTGCTGCATGATGATGAATTAAGTTTGCTGCTTCCCTTCTTGCTGCAGCATAACTATCGTCTTATACCCTCAGGTGTATGTACACCTAATAATAATAATAATAATAATAATACAAGACATCATCATCGTATTAGCAGCAGCAGCAGCAGCAATAGCAGCAGCAGCAGTAGTAGTAGTAAAGGTTCTATTATTGCATCAGGTTCTACTGCTGCTGCTGCTGCTGCTGCTGCTGCTGCAGCAGCAAATCGTAATAATAGACAGAAGCCATCAAGACGTATTGTACAAGAATTAGAGGAGCTGCAATCTGCATGCAGCAGCACGGGGCTTGAATTAGGCAGCAAAAGACAAAAAAAGAGCAGCAGCAAATATTATAATGATTATGATGTTAATAATACCAGCAGCAACAGAGGATCTGCAGCAGCAGCAGCAGCAGCAGCAGCAGCAGCAGTAGATGGTGGTGATTGTTCTTCTTCTGTACTAAGTACACGTAGTTGTAGACCAAGACGTAATTGTACGAATAATAATAATAGCAACAGCAGCAGCAGCAGCAGCAACAGCAGCAGCAGTAGTATGCAAGTAGATAATATTAATAATAATAAGAGTATAAGAAGATACAGCAGCAGAAGAACAGCAGCAGCAAGTGCAGCAGCAAGTGCAGCAGCAAATGATGATAGTAGTGCTAATAGTGCAAATAATAGTGATATAGGATGGAACAACGAAGACACAACAGCAGCAGCAGCAAGTGCAGCAGCAAGTGCAGCAAACAGCAGCAACAACAACAACAATATATGGCAACAACAACATCAAAGACCTCTAAGAAGTTGTCGTTCTCGTGCTGCTGCTGCTGCTGCTGCTGCTGCATCTGCATCTGCATCTGCAGCTACACCTACACCTACTACACCTATCAATACAACGACCGCAACAACAGGAACAACAGCAGGAAGAACAGCAGGAACAACAGCAACAGCAGGAACAACAACAGGAGTAAATAATAATTGGCGTGCAAGTTGTTTAGGTATATTATATCATTTACGTTCTTTTCCTTCTTGTTCTTGGTTTATAAGTCCTGTAGATCCTGTATTAGATAATGTATATGATTATAATGATATAATACATACACCTATGTATATAAATAAAATAGAGGAAAAATTATTAAATATAAATAATAATAATAATAATAATAATAATAATATAAATAATAATATAAATAATAATAATAATATAAATAATAATAATAATAATAATTATAATTGTTTTTTATTTCAGCTAGATGTAAGACAAATATTTTTTAATGCTTTTTCTTATCATTTATTTAATAATAATGTATATAAAGATGCATTATTATTAGCTAAAGAATTCGAGAGATGTTGTAAGCTTATTCATGATGTTAATCCTTATTATAATCCTGCTGCTGCTGCTGCTGCTGCTGCTGCTGCTGCTGATCATGCTGATCATCATGATGGTGGTGGTGCAACAGGGCAGGCAAGGATAGAGGAAGTATTAGCTATTCTTGCTGCTCCTCATGATGAACAAGATGATGGTGTTGATGATTCTGTATGGATGCAACATATGCAGCAACAGCAACAATTACAGCAACAATATATGCAACAAATGCAGCAGCAGCAGCAACAACAGCAGCAACAGCAACAAATGCAGCAGCAACATATGCAACAGTATAGTGGTGATAGTTATGCAGATTCTTCTATTGATAATAATTATGTTGGTGTACGTACTAGACCAAGACGCATGCAACAGCAGCAGCAGCAGCAGATGCAGATGCAGATGCAGCAACAACAGGATGATGGTGTATATTATGATGAATATACAACAGCAGCAACAACTACTACTACTACACGTAGTAGTAGCAAGAAACAGCAGCAGCAAATGCAGCAACAAATGCAGCAGCAGCAGCAACAACAATTATCTCCAACACGTCGTGGTGGTCATCATCGTGGTCGTACAAGTAGGACATCATCATCAGCAGCAAGTGCAGCAGCAGCAGCAGCAGCAGCAGCACAACAACAGCAGCAGCAACAACAGCAGCACCAGCAGCATCAACTATCACGTCTCCCCTCTTCTTCTTCCTCAGCAGCAACAGGATTAGATATACAGCAACAGCAGCAACAGCAGCAGCAACAGCAGCAACAGCAGACATTTATAGCACCAGAGGATGCAGCAGTTCTTCCTCCTCCTCCTCCATCAAGGATAGGAGTAAATGATAAACCATTAACAGCACAACAAAGAAAAATATTAATTATAAATATAAATAATAATTTAAATAATAAACAACGTCTTGCTGCACTTGAATATATACAGGATGATTTAGGTATTATTGCTGCTGATTATATTAATAATAATAATAATAATAATAATAATAATAATAATAATAATAATAATTTATATATAGATACAGATCTTCTTTCTATACAAAAACAAAAAAATATATTTGCTTATGTTAATTCTATGGTAAGACTTAATAAAGAATTACTTATTAGTAGGGGTCTATTACCTGGACATAATAATCCTGCTGCTGCTGCTGCTGCTGGTAGTGGTAGTGCAGCAGCAGGAGCAACAGGTGCAGCAGGAGGTCCAGGTGATATAAGGAAAGGGAGGGGTGGTCTTGGTGCTGCTGCTGCTGCTGCTGCTGGGGATAATTCAGATAGCAGCAGTAGTGATAGCAGCAGCAGCGATAGCAGCAGCAGCAGCAGCAGTGATTCTCTTAGTTCTTCTACTACTAGTAGTGATAGTGATTCAGATGATGGCAGCAGCAGCAGCAGCAGCAGCAGCAGCAACAGGAATATTCATCATCATCAGCAGATGCAGCAACAGCAGCAGCAACATGGTGGTGGTCCTGGTGCTGCTGTTACTAGAGGAGCAATACCTGCAGCAACAAATCCTGCTGCTGTTGGTGGTACTGCTGCTGCTGTTGCTGTTGCTGCTGCTGGTGGTGGTTGTGGTAGTGTTGCTGCTGCAGGTGTTGCTGCTGCACCTGGTATTACAGCAGCTGTTGGTGCACCACCTGCTGGTACTACTACTGCTGCTGCTGCTGCTGCAGCTGCTGCTGCAGCTGCTGCTGGTGGTGGTGGTGGATACAGCAGTACATCTGCACCAACAGGTGCAGCAGCAACAACAGCAGCACAACAACAAACAGCAGCAACAGCAGCACAACCATCAACAGCACCTGCATCATCAACATCAGCAGGACAACAGCAATCATCTTCTTCCTCAGCAGCAGCAACAGCAGCACAACCCTCCTCAACAGGATCATCAGCAGGATCAGCAGCAGGATCAGGATCAGGATCAGCAGCAGCAGCAGCAGCAGCAGGAGGAGGACAGAATCCTCTACCTGAATATAAACCAGTAGCAGAGGATGGAGAAAAGGTAGAAATAAGAGAAGAATTAATGGGTAGACATGCAGATTTCTTGGGTATTATTGATTCACAACAACATGAAGAACATCTTATGGTAAATATATTCATTTATTTATTTATTTATTTATATTTATTTATTTATATTTATTTATTTATTTATATTTATTCTTCTTTTTTCTTCTTTTTTTCTTTATATTGTATATTTATTGCATAATGTATATGTTGGTGTATATACATATATATGTATATGATTGTATCCCCCTAATTAAATAAATAAAATAAATAAATAAAATAAATAAAATAAATAAAATAAATAAAATAAATAGAATAAATAAATAAATATAATTATATATATATGTATATATGTATACAGGGAGGAGGAGTAATAGAGGAGCCAAAGACAACAGCATGGCAAGAATGGAAAGGACAAGTTATTCATCAAGGATTTGCAGCAGAAAGGAAACCACAACCTCAACGTACACCTAGTGAATTAATTGCTGAGGCTTATGATGCAAGAATATAGATATAAATAAATATATATATAAATAAATATATATATAAATAA